GAACCACGCTACCGTTTGGTTAAAACTCCAGACGCAAAACCACTGCGGGTTCGTGTTCATTAAGTTTTGCACAAAAAGGAGGTTTATTTGGTTTAGCCTCCGCTTTGTGGGGAGTGGGGGGAGAAGGTGGGTGAGGTGCGCTGCTATATCAGTGGGACCTAAGTAGACGTAATTACAAGTGGTCAGGGCTGTTCACGTGAAGCATGGCTTTATTTTTCAGAAACTGGGTTGGGCTTTGGAAAGAGGAACGTGTTTTCACCTTCACAGCAAAACCGTTTGATAGAGCCCAATATTCACGTTGCTAACATCTGCCATTATTGAATTACTCTCTTCAGTTATTTCATTTTTCACACAGAAATCCTAATTAAAGCATAACAGGGACAATCTGCAGTACATTTTGAGATCACAGGAGCGGTAAGAGGCAGTCCATAATGCTTTATGTGTTGGCTTGTTCACACGTCCAGATTTTGGTTATAAAAATGCTGACCGTGAAACTGCACGTTGTTCACTCCTAGCATGGTCTTTCAGGTTGCAGAGGGACTGCAGGGGTTCGTAATACCACACCTGGCCTCTGGATAACGAATCATCCAAGATTTTAAGCCTCGTTTTCAGATTCAGGATACCAGTAATACCTTCCCCCTACAGTGCAGTTGCCAAGGTTGTGTGAATAGCTGTGTCAGGAAAAAAAGAGAATAAAGAAGTAAAGAAGCAGTACGTGAGGATCAACCAGATGTAAAGAATGAATTTTTCCTATCTTAAAAAAAAAAAAAAAAAAAGGGGAGGAAAAAAAAGAGGCAAAAAAGAGGCAAACCCCCCAAAATGGCGCAGAAACGTGCTGTCAGCGCCTGCTTTGTGCCAGGTTTTACTTAGAAATACTGGAAACGGAACATGAGTTTCAAAGTAGCCAAGAGTCACCTTCTTATGTGAAGTGTGTTCGTGTGACTCAATTTGAATGAGCCTCTCCTAGCGTTTTTTTTTATTTTGCTTGTTTGAGTCAGATATAGTTTTGATACAGCTCAAAGCCATTCTTAACATATTTCATGCAGGTTCTAGTCTGGCTTCGCCTTAAATGACACACTTTTGCCTCCCTGATTCTGTTTTGGTTTATTCTCTTCATTTATATTATGTTTATGATCTAGAGCTTGCAAGATCCTGTGAATAAACTAACAGAAAAAGCAGAAAAGGAGGACCTGCAGACTGAGAGCACCAAAGCAGTACAGCAAGACCAGCAGAGTCAGTAAGTTGCATGGCCTATGTATTACAATAAGGAGTATTTTTGTCTGTAATCTGCTTTCTGGTTGCTGAAGTCACCAAACATTTATAAACGGAAATACAGACGCAGCTAGGCTGACCACGTTAGCTCATAGTAAGCCTAATACAAGAATTCCTGAAATGTTGTAATGTGTACGTGACAACTAATAAACTTTGTGGTGAAATGAAGAGCTTTACAAAGAGCCATTAAGCCTTTATATGTTTTCCATCTTTTCCTAGCCTTCTTTTTATTTTTCAGCTTTTGCTTCGTTTTTGCTTTAGTAAAACCCACGGTAAACAGCGACACGTGGGAGGAGGTACATAAGCGTTGTATTTCTCCCGTCAGCAGCATCTCCTTTCACCTGGGAAGAGGATATGGATTCCTGCTTGCTTTGCGCAGCGATTAGTTTTTGTAATGCATCCAGCACCGGTTAGCGACCCAACAAAGCACTGGGTACTTAGGGTAAAGTACATCTAAGGGAGCCGATGCTGCCAAGGTTTGAGTTACCTGTAGCTCTGGGGTGAGAGGGGCTGATGAACGGGCTGCCGCGGGGAGAGGAGAACTGGAGAACGAGATGCGATCCCTCCCCGACGGGACCATCAGGGTTCAGCGGCGAGGGGATGCGACCTTGCTATAATCCTGCTGCCACCTGTTGTTTTGACTCTCCCTGGTTCATCGAAGCACCCAGCAAAGGATCAGTTGTCAAAAAAGCAGAGAACAGCTTGACTGAGTAGTGGATTTTGCTCGGCTATTTATAACAATGGATTTTTAACGAGCCCTGTTTTGCAGTCCTTTTGCTTGTTCACGTTCAGCACCGCTGACCAAAACCAGTTTATAAATTGGTCGGATTTGGTGCTCTTCAGATGAGAAAGGACTCGGCCAAGCACCGTTTGGCAGGTGGTTGTCGCCGCAGCGCTTCCTTGAATCTGCCGCATCTCACGTGACAACAATAAAGAATGTCATAAAAAATTGTTTTCCTCAATGTTGAATATGAAGTTCTAGAGTGACTGCATGGTGTATGCAGGATGTGTGCGTTGGCACCTGCCAGCAGATGCATCAGATGCGGTGTCATGGTTGTACTTGATTTTATTTATCGATTATCTTTTCCCTTGTCTGTCATAAAACTGAGGGGGAAAAGTATGGCGCTGTTTTGCTGCCTAAAACCATAAACAAACATCTAAGATTCAAGAAGAATTACACAAAACAAAGCTTTTAAAACACTCATGAACTTTCCATTCACAGTAGACATCATTATACTAGAATTCGGCCTGAATCTGGCTTTCCTCTGCTCCACCACCAGCCCATCCTCAACAGCAGGAGAGGTGGCTCCTCCTGTCCTGTCACCAGAAGTGCCACCACCACGTCAGCCCGGTGGCTGCTTCATTCCCCACCAGCTGAATGGCTTTACTCAAAGTAACAACAGTCAGAAAGTAAATATTCCTCATTGAAGAGTTGACCTTTGTACAAGAATTGCGTGGAAACCACAACTTTATTTTTTTTTTCTGTCAAGAGCTTTTGCATCATCACTGCTCCTCTGGTTTTTTAGCAATCTGCTGACATGGGACAAAACTCACCAGACTGTTGATTTTTTTAATGAGTCGCTGTTAAGAGAAGTGCAAAGTGGGGGTGGTTTGGTTTGGATTTTTTTTTTTTTTTTGAACAGTTGTACCTCCTTCTCGTGAAAGGCCAACTCTGGAAAAGCAGAATGCACTGTACTTTTCCTTACAGAGATTTGTTAGATTAAAACCGGAAGGGTGATAGGTTTTGATAGTTGGTCTTCAATCTGATTTTGGTTTTCCACAGAATTCCACCAATGAAACAATAAAAGTTAACATCAGGCCAGCATATACAGCAAATGCAAGAGACCGTCTGATTACTGTTTATTTGTTATTGATACAATTCTGTAATGATGTGACCAAAAAGAGAAAAATGTAGTAGTATTATTATTCTATAGCCTTAGAATGATTTTCTCATTTTTTTTTCTTATTCTTTCAATTTAAGGTTGATTTCATTAGATGAAGAGAGCCATACCAAGGATTCAAACTACTCAGGTATTTTATTTTGTGTTGTCATAACTTCATAAGTGCTGTAATACCTCGTTTTTTCATTTGTATTTCCTGTATTTTCTCTCAGCAAACCCCTACAGATGCATAAAACTTCAGGCTAGGAATATCTGCTAAAGCTAATCTCTCACCTGTTACATCCCACGGCATTTCATTCAGTTACTCTCAGATAGCTCAAATAGCTCGTCTTTGGCATCATTCTTACCTTGGGCATGTCTTCAAGGAAAGGATCTACAGACTAGCAGGTGTCGAGACAAGGAAAGTGTGCCACTTGGCTTGCTGGTGAAAAAACTTGATGAATTCCGTGGAACTTCTGCCCAAAAGTTAGGCAAAGTCCTATTCGGCCGCAGCTTGGGTGGTTGGTTAACGACCTGATGGGTGGTTACTACCCGGTGACACAGCCAGGCTCTTAACTGGAGGTGCACAGGGAAAGACTGGGAGGCGATGGACACGAGTGACAGGAAGGGAAATTCTGGTTACGTACTAGGAAATAAAGTGTTTATGGCCAGAGGGAGGTGAAGGGCTGGGAAAAGTGCCTGGAGGGGCTGTGGAATCTTCATCCCTGGAGATCTTCCAGACTTGACAGGACATGTCCCTGTGAAACCTGATCTAGCTCCCTAGCTGGCTCTGCTCTGCCAAGGGGCTTGGCCAAGAGGAACCCCGGAGGTCCTTCCAGCCTAAATAACGCCATGGCTTGTAATGTATCTTTTTCTACTAAATTAATGGAGAATAATTTTAATATGTGGTGTTTTATCTGCCACAAAGATACTTAAAAGGTACTAGATTCAAATGAAGACCCCTCTCAAATCTTCATTTCGATAGGCTAACCATCTTGATGTCTTCAAGACATCTTCTCTGCTCCTTTATTTTTGAAGTGTTTGTGTCCATTCCTCTTTACAACGTCCCTTTTAAAATGCAAAATGTATAACTGCTCAAGACGTTTCTGATGTTGGAGTCTCCTGTCGTGTTTCTAAAATCACATTCCTCTTTCGGTGTACCAAGGGGGAGATCTCATTTTGCTGCAACGTCCAGTTAGAAGCTCATATTTGAATTTGTGGTTTATCGAGGGTCAGTTCCCTTTGGCCGCAGCTTTCCAGGACTCATTCTTCTTTTCTGCAGCACGACTTGTATTCCTCATTCCTAGAGGTACAGCTTACGACTTGGTGGTATTAAATTCCCCCAGCTCTGACTACAGAAACGCAAGGACAGGCCTGAGTGACCGCCTCGAATAGCCTGTTAGTTGTTTGCGCATTTTTTTAAAGAGGGATTTTTGTGTTTACTTCCAGATGAATGCTCAAGCCATTGAATGGCAATGGATACAACACTAAACCTTGCAGATCTGAAGGAGAAACACTTCTGCTTTGCAATTATTTCTCCTAACCACTGGCTTTTGACATCTGTTAGTTGTCGTGCTCCTAATCCATTCAATATGTTCGTTACAGATACTACGCAGTGCTGACTTTCTAGCTGGAAGGCCGTGCGGTGCAAAGTCAAGTTGTTTCTAAACAAATATCTTTACCAAAGAAAGCTCATAGTTTTGACAAAGAATTAACTTAGTTGTTGGTTTGTTTTTTTTTTTTAACTAGATCTGCTTTCCTTAAACCCCCCTTTTATGGCAGGAGCATTTATTACGCTCGTATTCTTTTGCTGAATCCCCTACTGAATGAGATTCAGTTAATGTTTTGCCTAGGAGTGATGGTGAGCTACCAGCCCGTAGTTACCTACAATTACTTGAGTCACCCTGTTAATTATTGTTGTTATTTGGGTGGGTTTTGTAGCAATGACACAACAATATTAGGACTTTTCCAGTGAAGTTTCACCCATTTTGCAATTAAATAGATCAGATGTCTCTTTGACGAGTTATTTTAATATTCTTGGCTACAAAATCTGACTTGTATTTTCTTAGCAGATGTTTTCTAGAATCCTAGTTACTTATGGGCTGTAAAATATTTCACCATCGTCCATGATACAAATACCTTATTCTGTCTCTTTCTCCATCACCTTTAAAAGGAACTGAAGTATTTTGGAATACTTCTGCCTGCTCTGCTAAATTTTTTCCATCTCCATACACTAGTGGGTCTGTGCCATTGCTAAGATTTTTATTTTTTTTTTTCCTGAAAGTTCTCTGTACGTACTAAAGTAATACAGATGCAGTGCTGCTAGCGATGGACCCGTGTTTCTTCTTAGTTTTCCTCATCAACTACTTCTACTTCATAACTTTCAATTTTTTTTATCATTTGCTCTGTGTTTTTTCTTAATGTACTATGGGTGTTTTCAAGCTTGGCTCCATCATGTTTACCCCTGGGCTAAGGCTTTCTGCAGCAGTTGTATTTTTTTCGTTACAGAATTGTGGCCATCCGTATCCCACCTGTCAGGAACTTCTCTTTCTGATTTTTTTCCCGCCTTTTCCAACCGCTTTAGCGTTGGGGTTTTCCCCTTTAGCTTTGTGCATTGTCCTTTTCTGGAAGCCTCACGCCTGTTTGTCCATGGGTGTTTATGCCTCTCCTGTCTGTCTGGAGTGTAATCAGAGGTGAGCATGGGTCCATAAATGACGGGCTGATTGTAGTGCTGCTGCTAGCCCATTTCTGTCGTCGTCCCGGCAGAGCTTTGTTAAAATAATGTGATTCAAACAGCAAGCTGTTCGGTTTCGTTTGGTTCTGAGCACACCTTGATGTTTCTCTTGAAGAGGTTTGGCATTCAATTTTCATTGCCCTGTAGAGAATGTTGTTTCTCCCCTCCAGCCTCAAGTTTGAGGCTTCCAGCTTATCTGCCTTCCAGTTCTGGCAATACTGTGACCGACCCCTTCATTGGCCTTTAGAGCTACCGAGTTAGTTGTCTAGAAGGCAGATTTCCTCCACAGTTCATGGGGGGGGCGAAAGGCACGTTCTGCAGGTAACTCATCCCTCCTGTTTTCTTACATATCTTAACTGTGATTAATCACCCGAGGGAGGTGTCTTTCTCTTCACTGATAGACAGAATCTTGATGGGTTTGACTCCACCTCTAACCTAAGAAACTTGCTCAGCACTTTGGGGCATGGTGGTGGTTTTTCACCTCTGCTAGCCTATAACCCTCAGCTGTACGTTTTCCCTCCCATTGGTCTTAGCCAATTTATTTTCCTGCAGAAGAGATGCTGTTACTTATGCCCTGACCTGGGGTGCTTTGGGAGAAGATTCCTCTTCCCCATTCCCAGAGTTGGTGTCGTGAGGAAGAACATATTGTCAAGGAAGGCGATTCGGGGAGTGATGAGGTTCTGGTGTTCTTGTGGTCTCTCCCTGTGTAACTACACACTTTTTTTAGAAGTCCCTCTGCTTCTGGAGGACAGCGGAGACCTGTCTGCTTCTTGCAGTCGCCTCAGTTGGGGGCACTCAGCCTGGAGATGGGCTAGCGTGGATTGTGGTGATGTAAAAGGCGATTTCCCCTCCCAGGCTATTAGTCAGAAGTTGGCCTCGCTTCTTAGAAATGCTTGTATCTTGGGTCTTTCCTCCGTGGTGACCAGGTTCATCTTAAACATGGATACCAGCAAGCGTTGATCTCGCAGTGACGTTGTTTGTAAGCGTGGTCTTGTGCCAAGTGCGATTTGACGTGTTTACGGATCTCGGTTACAGCTGGCGATGGCGAGGATGTCCTGTCCGCGTTACAAGGACGTTGTAACCACAAGCAGAACTCAGGTGAAGAGGCTTTAACCAAACTACCCTTAGATGGGTGCATACCGGTTGTCGGTGTACTGCAGATCTTCCTTTGTCGCTTTTCATTTTTCTTTTTGTTTTTTTTTCTTCCTTTTAGGTGCCATAGATGACTTACTAGACCTGCAACCAGCAGAAAATGGTATGAAACATTTGTGCACGTCTGATTCATCTGCTTTTCGGTTACAGTCACCGAGTACCGTTTTAATCTTAGATCTTAATTGTTTTCGTAATGTGAAAGGTTGAATTAAATAATTCAGCTGCAGCATTTAAACAGTGTTAAAGGAAACTCAGCTTCATATACATGCAGGGGCACTGTTCCTGATGTTGCAGTGTGAGGTCAGCCTTACTGGGGATAAAACGTGTTGTAACAGGCGACGGGAGGTTGGGTGTGCTGGCCTGGATCGTGTTTGCCCCACTGAAGTAGGTTCCACGGTAAACCTTACCCCTCCTATAGCATTTCACAGACTTTTCTTGTTTGGTCCTTTAGTTGCTGTATCACAACCCTTGGCAGTACGTTAGTAACCGTGAGATTTTGTGTCAGTTGTGTACATATCAGAAACAGATGATTTGGTCATCTTAAAACCATATAAGAACTTTCAGCCAGATAGTGAATTAAATCTGCTGTGCTGTTCTCACACACACATCAGAAGGCAGTCTTTCAGTCCAGGCTCTGCTCCTGTCCTTGTCCGTGGCCGCTCAAGGGGATGTGCTGTTTGTTCCAAACATTACCGGTTTGCCCTGTAACATATGAAAGATGTGGCTGAAAGTTTTATACTGAGTTTTCATCTTCAGTAGGAGCGTTGCCTAGAATTTCTCACTCGCTTTTCACTCATATATCTCGGGAGAATGAATAAAAAAAACCCTTCAACAACCACAAAAACACCTGTGGCAACTCAAAAAGCGAGAAGCAAAGAAAAAACCCGTTTGTGTGGTTCAGTCAGTCGGACTGAGAGTGTAGTTTGGGGCATGGAAGGCAGTGCCGTCACGGGAGGTAAGGAAGAGAGGGCTTGCAGACACCTCGACTTCGGGTGTGCCGCGGGCACCGTGGGGAAATGACCCCATGTGGGGAATCACCCGTGAAGGCAGAAGCGGGGCAAGCTCCTCAGCTGCCTGTGCAGAAGCAGCCCTCATCTGTGGACAGACCAGGCGGGGGTCACCTCGTTGCTGCGGTCAGTGTACGTCTGGAAGAACATATTGTCAAGGAAGGTGATTCGGGGAGTGATGAGGTGGCCTTTTTTCTTCTGGTTTTCCCCTTGCTCAGCTCCATTCCTTGTTGGACCTTCTTCGTGGAGACACAGCTCACGCATACAACTGTCGGTCATACACGCGTAGCTACGTCAGTTAGAAGGCTATTTATTTTTCCGTTAGTCAAATGGTTAAACCGATAGAAAAACAGTTGTGGGGCAGCTACATCAGACAAGGATGGTTACGTGCATGTGACAGTATCAGCCATTTACCTTAATTTTACATACCACAAGCTTTAGGCTAATGAATATTGTTATTATTTTAAGCGAAGCAGTATAGTTAGAGGTACACTTCAGCGTGTGTTTCAGAAGGAAGTCTTTATCCTGTGTTTCCAGTCATGTGGCATGGTAAATATTCTTAGTTTCTCTTCCCATTCATCTTTTTTTTTTTTTTTTTTCAATACCAGCAAAAGGAAGGGTGTTTGCAAAGCAACGTGAGCGTTGCTGGAGGCTTGTTCAAACCGCTGCAGAAAAGAATATACTGACGTGGATTTTTCAGTGCTTTATTGGGAGGTTTGGAGTTGTTTTCGTGGGTATTTATAGGGTTAGGAGCAGCGTGTGCAGACCAAAAAAAAAAAACAAAAAAGGATTTTGACTGTGAAAACAGAGAAACAGGAAAAGAAGTAATAGAAGATTTACGGGTGAGGTGAGAAAGTCCATGTCATTCTAGTAATCTAGCAGAGATACCACATGAGTAACATCTCGATAAGCCAGACTGGTTTCAAGATAACCTTGGTTGCAAACAAGCGCAGAATTTACTGCTGCTGCCTCGAGGTAGCCTGAGCCCGACCCTCCCCTGCCCCGGGTGCCTCGTTCCCCGCGGGAAGATCAGGCAAGAAGTGTGTCCCTCCTGATTTCTGCGCTGCAGCCAGACCCGGCTGCTCTTCAGACGTGAAGCTGCATGTTGGGCTTTCTCCCCACGTCAAAATGGGGGCGACTGCAAGGGGGGGTGCCCAGGCGAAGCAGAGCTTTGCTCCGCGCTTCGGCTGCGAAGCTTTTGTTCCGTCGTGGGTCAGCGGTGGTTGGGTACGTGGTGGGTCTTAGCAGGTCTGTTCCTAGCGGTGCTCCCTTTGCATCTCCCCCTGCAAGGCTTCCAAGTTGACGAAGGGGCCTCCAGAAAGCAGCTTCTGTGATGCCCCACAGAGATCAGAGTTCTGAAGCGCCTCTGAAACAGCGGGGGCGCTTCCCCGACGGAAGGGTTTGCCCCTCTGCCTCACCCGCCCGGGGGCCGGGGGGGAGTCGTAGGTGCTTGGGCAACGTTAACGTTCTGGGCTGTTTATCTGAAGATGGGAAAATTCATGAGAACCACTCGTTTTCTGTGGTGCTTTAGTTGCAGTCTAGCGAGAACATCAGAACTGACGTGTTTGTGATGTTTCTGTTCCTAATTTTTGGGCCCTGTCAGGAAGTGCAGAGGTATATGAAAATGGGAATGAGAAAGGAGCTGAAATCTCAGAGCTGACTTCAGTAATGAATAAAATCCTTTAATTACGGGATGGTTTATTTGTTTCTTTGCACGTAGGTGTGTGTGCTGACTCATCAGCCTATTTTAAAACACACTTTTGCGCTTCTTTTTTT